GCGAAACCTATAAAAGACAGCCAAGGGAACCCAATTACCAAGGAAGAAAAACAGATTAAACAATGGGCGGATCACTTCAAAGGACTCTTGAACCGACCATCACCTGCAACCCGTCCAGAAATACCAACAACAGCGCACACACAACTGCAAGTTGACACCAATCCTCCAACGAGAGCTGAAGTCTTGAATGCAATCAAACTTCTGAAAGCTGGAAAAACAGCCGGACCAGATGGAATACCCCCTGAAGCACTGAAAGCAGACCCAGAGACGACAGCAGACATGCTGACTCCATTATTGCAAAAGGTCTGGAAGGAGGGAAAGGTGCCTACTGACTGGAGGAAAGGTTACCTCGTGAAACTACCAAAGAAGGGCGACTTAGGTCACTCTGCAAGAACTGGCGAGGAATCATGCTCCTATCGACGCCAAGTAAAATCCTGAGTCGCATCATCCTGGAGAGATTAAAGGACGCACTGGAGACAGAACTCCGACCAGAACAAGCTGGATTCAGGAAAGGCAAATCATGTACTGACCAAATTGCAACTCTACGCATCATCATCACAGAACAAAGCATGGAATGGCAATCAAACCTCTACCTCAACTTTATAGACTTTGAGAAGGCCTTCGACAGCGTTGACCGTGAAGTAATTTGGAAATTACTCGAGTACTATGGCGTACCCCAAATATTCATCAACCTTATTCAACAGCTGTACGACAACGGCACCTGCCAAGTGATCCACAACGGGAAACTCAGCGAGGCGTTTGGAGTAAACACAGGAGTCAGACAAGGGTGCTTACTATCACCAATGATATTCCTAATTGTGGTGGACTGGATTATGCGTCAGACAGTGGGAAACGAGAAGACAGGAATATCCTGGACCGACGTGAAGAACCTAGAAGACCTGGATTTCGCGCGTGGATGATTTATGTTTGATGTCACACAAAATCGAAGACTTACAAGCGAAAACCGACAAACTGGTCGAAGAAGCAGCAAAGACAGGACTCCAGGTAAACATAGACAAGACGGAGGTTATGAAAATAACCAACCAACAACAGCAACAACATCCAACGTCAATCACCATCAACGGGAGGGATTTGAAAGAGGTTACTTCATTCACTTATCTAGGGAGCATTGTCTCAACTACAGGAGGAGCGGACGAGGATGTCAAATCGAGCGAGAATCGGGAAGGCGAGAAACACATTCATCAGCCTGAAATCAATCTGGAAATCTTCGTCACTCAGCATCACCAACAAAATTCGGATTTTCAATACAAACGTAAAGTCAGTCAGTTCTTCTATACGGATCAGAAACTTGGCGGGTCACAAAGAATATTTCCAAAAGGCTGCAGACCTTTATTAACAACTGTCTTCGCTCAATACTGAAGATCAGATGGCCGGAAAGAATCACCAACAAGGAATTATGGGAACAAACAAAGCAAGAACCAATCGCCCAACAAATATGCAGGAGAAAGTGGAGATGGATCGGACACTCGCTGAGGAGACCGCTGGGTGACATCGCGCGCCAAGCCCTCGAGTGGAACCCGAAAGGGAAGCGGCGTGTGGGACGTCCAAGGGTGACATGGAGGAGATCGTGTGAAGAGGAGTTGAAAGAATATGGATTAACATGGATGCAGGCGAAAAGTACAGCAGAAGACAGAAGCAAATGGAGACGTGCAGTTGAAGCCCTATGTTCCACTAGGAACCCAAGGGAGCAATAAAAAAATAAAAAAAGAGTTGGTTTGTAAGGATTAGATTTGTTTTGATGAGTTAGAATTCATAGGCCACTGATGAATCGGGTTCTAGAGAGTGGCTGAGTGGTATACAAATTAGCTTGCCTTGTAACTGGAAGGTCCTGTGTTCGAACCCTGGCGGTGGTAGGGGATGCGTACTGTCGATGATTTCCAAAACTAGACTGATGAAACAGCTGGCTGGCTGTCCAGTACTCCCTGGTTGGTTTGGTTTTCAATGCCCACTCTCTAACTGATATCAATCCGTGATCAACTCGTCAAAATAAATTATTTGACGCTTATGTAAGAGTATTGATTGTTGATTTTACACTCCTGTTCAGCTTGAAACATAGCAGACTATTTCTGAATGATTTCACCACACTGCTGACAAGATTAATGACGACTTTTTTTCCTTCCCATTGTGCTACCAAACTACTTGATATGAATACCCTTCATTTAACCTTTATGATCAATCACTGCAGTATTTGATTATTTTCTATACTGGGAAGACCCAATATTATTTTATCCTGTTCAATGTGTTCTTCTTGCTTCGTTCAAATTTTTTTTATCAATGGAAATAGTTGTAAAAGCCTTTTAGAATGTGTGAGATAATAAGACTCGCCTAGAAAACCACAGACAAGTCTTGATGGCAGAGATTAATCGTCAGACAGTCTTATAAGGTTTCTATGACATTCGAAACAGTCAAGTACCCACAAAAATTTCGCCAGACGGTCTACATAAAACCAACAAACACATGAACTCAGCAGGTATAAAGTCGAAGGCGCACACTGTTGTAAAAAAAATCAGTCTCCTAAGATTACATTTCACAGATGATGTCAATAGTGAGATCTTATCACAACGTCTGGGAAGGTCCATCAAAACGACTTTCAATGTAACTGAGTTCAAGAAATAAAGACAGACTGCCCTGTTCCGCCTCTTCTATGTGTATTTACAAGTTTAACTGCGGGTGCAGAGGAGCTAGTTACATTGATCATACGGTCAGGCAATATCATCGTTGTTGAATTTCTCAACACCTCACATCTTGATTTGGCGAAGGTCCGAATTAAGTTTCTCATACGCAGCTCAGTACTGGTTCGTCTCGTCGAGACTGACTGGACATCAAATCGACTTATTGTAACAAAACTTTTAAAGTTATTTATCCTATGTCATCCAACCCAGTTCGCATGGTCTACGAATACGACTTTTGCATACACACAGCAGAGGTAATCGGAATTCATCTGAATAAGCCAAATCTGTGAGTGTTCAAGGCCTTTTCTTTGCCATGGCCAACTGCATAATATGTATTAGGTTTTATAAGACGGTTTTTCCCCTCCCCTGGTAAATATTTTTGAACTTTGTGAATTTTTACAATTCTAGCTAACTCTATTAACTTGTTTGTATTTTAGGAAATTCTTCGTAGTCATCATCGCTGTTTAACAAATTTCTTGATTATGTAATAACTTGTTGCTAACGCCTAAGAATTAACTGATCTTGAATTCCATAATTAATAGACTTTTCACCCCTCCCCGCTTCAAAACTTAGATATGCTTGTTGCTAACATCTATTAGTTATCAAGTATTGGTATTGGCAGAGGTTAGAATTCAAGGACCATTGGATCGGGTCCCAGTGGCTCAATGGTCTACGAGCTAGCTTGCCTTGTAATCAGAAGGTCCTGGGTTCGAATCCCGGTGGGTGCGTACTGCTGAGGAGCCCCAAACTAGGACGAAACAGCTGTCCAGTACTCCTAGGTTTTCCAGTGGTTCTCTAACTGATGTCAGCTTATGATTAAATCCTCCATGCAATCTATTAGTTAGTTGTTTTGATAAGTTTTAACCTCAAAATTTCACTCACACACACACATACACACACCCGTATACCTAAAATCGATCAACTAAAATGCCCACTTGATTGGTAAAAACAATTGTGATGTAAAAAAACTGCATATTAGTGCAGCGCCAGGCAGCCGATAATGAGGAACTAATTGAAGTGAAGGAATGCATATTTCTTCTCTCAATAAATTACAGCTGTGAACCCGACTCTACGCTACCTGTTGAGGTCTTCACAACTAGATAGTGTCATCATACTCTCTCTCCTGTAGTACGCCTAATTAATAGTGTTCTCTGAGCTGGTTGGTTTAGTTGCGGACAACATTCCCTTTCAGCCCACTATTTAACATAAAGTGAAATGACTTGAATTTTTCATGAGTGGTGATATAATTGCTTCTCCCGGTAACCATCTTTACATCTGTATTGATCATCTTCTATTGACTTGGACCTTAAACTTTCTGGTCACATGATCTACATTTTTATTAGTTGGTATGTTTGGTCTATATTAACGTGTTTGTTAATCGCTGACGGATGATTCGTTTGAGTACCAGGCTTCTAGGAATTCCCTGACTGCATTTTTGGTGTTTCCTCTGTCGGACATTTCGACATTATCCCAATCACCAAATTGGTGTCCATAATTATCCACACGCATTGATGTGAAACAGGAATATATATATATCGTGTCTTTTCACGGCTGATTTGTGTTCCTGGATTCTGATTTGAAGGGGACGCCGACTTTGGCCGATGTAATGCCTGTTATAGCTCACACAATTATTTATTTTGTAAATGGTATTGATTTTATCTCCTTTTTCTGTTGGATCTTTCGGTTTGCATAATATCGAATTAAGCAATTTGACTGGCTTACGTGCTAGATCTATTTCAAACGGTTTCAGTATTCTAGCTGTTATAACAGCTATATCACGCCATTACATCACTCATGAAAAATTCAAATCATTTGACTTTATGCTAAATATTGCGCTGAAGGCGGGGATGTTGTCCAGAGGGACGGACGACGAAAGCTCCGCAACTAAACCAACCAGCTCAGAGAACACTATTAAGTGCAAATCATCCACCTGAGTTACAAATCTTCTCTATTACGCCTAATTAGTTATCAGGTTCATAAACATAACTCAGTTTCAGAATTTTTTCTAACTGATGGATGATTAGCACTGGAATCCTCTCTAAGATGCTCATCTCCTCCTCCTATTTGGGATACCTTTCAGCTATTGGATGTACCTACAACCACCCCCCCCCCAAGTTGGATGTTCCCCCAGCCAGTAATCACATCACGTTCCAACCGCCAAAACACTATTCACTAGACCACCAATGTTCACCATTTGCTGCAAAAGGCATCACTTATTCTATTGGATTGAACACTTCGGTTTCCCCACCCACGCGCGACTCCGCCTACGCATGTGAATATTAAAACGTCAACAACAAAAAACTCATATCAACTATTACACAAGTTTATTTATAGATGAAGACCGAAATTTTTTTAATTTTCATATTTGTGTATACATATACGTATATTATATATATATATGCGCCTGTGTGTGTGAGCAGTGTCTGCATATTTGTTTGTTTGTTTGTGTGTGTGGGTGTGTGTGTGTACGTTTTGCCATTTATAATAATAATAATAGATAGATAGATAGTTAGATAGAAGTAAAACAAAAATAAAATGTGCGGCAACCAAAAAAAAGAGAAAAAAAGTTTTTCTTTTCACGATCACTTGATCTTATCGATCGATCGATCGATCAATCGACCAATCAATCAATCAGTTGATCGGCCGATAAATTAATTGAATAATTAGTAGGAAAAAGAGTTCGTAGGCATATATGGATATATCCTCCAGTTTATTATCATTATTATTACTACTATTATTATTATTATTTTATAAAAAAAAACCCAAGAAGGGAATATTGGAGGAAAAATAACAAGGAGGGAGGGGGAGACTGTGTGGGTGGGTGACGGGGAGGGGGGTTGGGAAATGATATTTTTCGGTAGACTACTACTTTCATCATTCATATTTTAGAATACAATAGCATCCGTAGTAGTAATAGTAGTATTTGTTGTACACAGCGTAGGTGGATGTGATGACGTTGGGGGGTGGGGTGGGGTGCCGAAGGGGTATATCAAGAAGCGGTGGATCATTCAATCTCAATGTCTATCTGTGTCTGTCTGTATGTGTGTGTGTACATAACGAGTACATGAACTGTGTGGGAGGTTGGGATAAGTATGTGATAGGTGGTGAAGTTTTCATTCGGATAATGATGCCGTTGATAACGCTAATATTGATTCTACACGGGATCGATTACTCATGTTGTGTAATAGGTTTTTTTGCTTCGCTTTTTTCTGAATACATAGTTAATGTCTTAACGAATCACTTTCAAATAAATGTCTTTGTATACATGTATGTGTGTGTGTGTGTGTGCGGGCGACTGACGAAGGAACTAAAAATGAGTAATATCAAAGTCAAGAATCAAGATCATGTTTTCCTTTCACAAAGGCTCTATAAATGTCTCTTTGTGTCTGTGTGTGTGTGTGTGTGAATGTTGGAGAAACAATGTGCATGGGGAAAAGAGTAAGAACAGAGGAATTCAAACCTGCTTGATCAGTCTATCCCCTAATTACCTCACAAGAATAGTTAGTTATTTAGTAAGAGTAATGATAATATTAATAGTAATAATGAACGCATTTACATATAAACTGACATACATACAAGTAGGCCAACAAATTAACGTACTGACACGTACACGCACGTACGCACCCCTCCCCTCCGCACTGAAACTCACAAATATACACATGAAAAGTCATAGAAATTTGAAAATTAGTTAAAGATCAAGTAAAAACAAGAAAAAAAGAAACAAAGATAGAGACGGAATCATTAGCCAATCAATCGATCAGTTAGTATTACGTAATCACCTATTTTTAGCTTAAAAAAGAAAAGGTTGTCTTGTTGTCAGGGGGAGGGGAAAGAACAACAACTGAAATAATAATAATAATCATTATTATAAATATTACTAAAACAGAAGATCAATAGAGTGCAATCGACTTTTTTTTCAATTTCGTAAGCACATAGTGCAAGGGGGTTCAGAATGGAAGAAAGAAAGAAGACCAACAGAAGTACATGACTAGTAAGATGTGTGTGTGTGCGTGGGCGTATGGATAAATGAGTAAATGTATAATCGATAAGCTTAGTTCAAATATATGATAATATCTCCACGATGATCCTTTATGCATAATCGGGGAAATGAAGTTCACACAGTCAAGATCACTAGTACTCCTCTTCCCCCTCCTCCTCATTAAATTCGCTGTATTCACCAATCTTGAATAACAACAGTGGTGTCGGTTGCCATGGCAACCGTTGGTGACACTATCAACAACAACAACAACACCAATCACTACGAGAAATGTACAGCAGGCACACTCACACACACAGACACATGCAGAGACAGGTCAGGAATATACATAACTGAAGTAAGCAGCTGCCTGAAGTGAAAAATTTCGAAAACAAACAGAAAAAAACATACTAGAAGTTTTAAGATCAAAAAACAAATTGACTAATCAATAGGTTAAGTGTGTATGTATGTGTGTGGGTGGGTGGGTGAATTGAGTTATGCAGGATATACACACATACATAAATATGTACCACATTGTATATTTATCAGTTCATGTTGTCCAGTTCCGTGTTTGTTTGGTAAGTTTGGCGCAGACTTCACAGTCTCTTTGTTTGTTTGTTTGTGTTGTTAGTTTGTCGGCTTACGTACTTGTGTTATGTAATTATGATGGGTAGCAATAATGGCGGCAATGATACTAATGATCCCAATAATAGTAATAATAATAATGTGGGGAGGAAATGGATCCACCGGGTTTCAAATATATCGATCGGTTGGGCAAGAGTTAGACGTTAACTAATCAATACATACATACATAAATACATATGCACATACACATATATATCCTCATAAATGTTTGTTGATTTCCTGAAATACTGATTTTGTGTGTGTGTGTGTGTGTGAATGTGTATGCGGTTTTTTATCTACCCAGCATGTATATCTTGTAACGATGGTTGCGGGATAGCATCTTGACCACCGACGGACGGTAGGAATCCTCCTGCTCCATGATGAGCATGATGATGGTGAGGATGGTGAGAATGATGAAGATTACTCACATGATTTGAATGATGTCCATAATGTGGTAGACTTAAATTTGAATGTCGATTATTTGACACGGGGAATGATGTCGGTGAACTACTAGCCGCCGTCATTGAATGTTGCTGTTGTTGCTGTTGTAAATGAGCCGCCGGTGGAATGTTACTACCATTAGATCCATTGAATGGAACACCAGACGATGGGATAGGACTTCCATTATGCACTGGTGATAGAGGAGTTGGATGGCTTGACATTGAATGATGTCCGTTAGTCATACCACGATAGGTATTGTTAGGTGATGTATATCCGGCAACAGATACACTGGGTGTAGAATTATTTGAGCCAGGACTTAGACCAGTCGTGGTTGTTGTTGGTGTTACAGGATAATTACGTTTCTGTTGTTGTTGTTGCTGTTGCTGTTGTAAGGCGAGAGCTGCCGCATACTGAGCAACAGCCAATGTCGCTTTTTGAACACTGTCGACGTCAGCAGCTGTACGCAGTTTTGACTCAGACGCCGAATAGTTATTACTATTATTCTCTGAATTAGTACTATTAGTATTAGTGTTATGTGAATTTTGAAATAGACCAAATTGTCCAGGAAATTGATTCGATGACTGTCTTCCAGATAGACTGCTTGTATTCGATGGTGGAGTGGGTGATGGAGCAGAATATGGACCGTAGGGGAGGTGACCACCTAACAGAGATGGTGGATAACCTCCACCACGAGGATAACCACTGATTGGATTGTTAACACCAGGAAAATCTGAATCTGTCATACTCCCGCCAAGATAACTCGGCATATATCCGCCTCCACGTCCAGTATTATTCATATGACTGTCAATATCTCCTCCAACTGGTGTACTACTAGCTGCGGCAGCTGCTGCCGCGGCATAAAATTCCTCAGGACGTAGAGATGAGGGATGAAAACCTGAAGTGAAACGAAAAAATATACATTTATATACAAAGATTGTATTGAGTATATAACTTAAGGTAACTAGACAATGTCTAGAGTTCGATTCCCCGTCGAACCCCCTACTAAAAGCTTCGCCTATCATCATCCTCTACTAGCTAGCTTATAGTAAATCCAGAAATAGAGAGAAGGTTGGGTGTGAGGCTAGCAACTCTGCCCAAATACCTAATCACAGAAATATGAAATACTTTGGTGGACCATGACTGGCAGTGGAAGCCAAGACAACGCTCACTTCGTCCTATTCGGGACTCATCAGCCAGTGGATTTGCCTGGTTTTCCTAGTGAGGCTTGAACCCAGTCATAACCCATCGCGTTTCAAACACCAAAGCGTTATCCACCATAAAGCTTGGACGACCAAATTACTTCAAGTTAAATCCTCAAACGTCGTTGAAGCATCTGCCGACATGTCAGCCAGCAGGGGCCGAATACTTCGGTCCTATCAATCAATAGAAAAGTCAAAATTGAACTATAAATTACACCTCCAGAATTATTTTGCTTTGAAACCTCAGAAAATGGCAGAATAGTCACAATTATATAAGTTATATTGCATAACTTATGAAATGAAAGTTCTGTGCGTGTGGGGGGGGTGGTGTTTCTCAAAAGATTCATTCATGATGACCACTTTTCGGTTAGATAACAACCGATTCAAATGACTAGGGATTAGAAGAGTCAATGATTTGTGTTCCCCATTGACTGATTTGACGATGTTCGACGATGGCGTCTGACGATTGAAACTGATATTGTTTGATGGAAGGCAACGAGCAGTGAAATACTCCAGGATACTCATTTCGTACTATCTGAGACTATTCTAGGGAATAACACTTTGGCGTTTAAAATGTGATAGGTACTGCGTTCGAGTCTCAGTGGGTGCACCATCAATCTCATCTACCGACTGACGACTGACTGACTGACTGGTTTCAACATAGAACTTTGCACCGATGTGCACCAGCACTTCGAGTCACCACACTCCCTCCATGTACCACACAAAGCAAGAGAAGAAAGTAGAAGAAATGCAAAATAGAGACAGTAGACAGGGATATTAAACAAAAGGAATAGTAATAACGAAGAACAATATAGTTTCATTGGAAATCATAAGTCACAAGGAGTGGATGCATCTGCGCCAGCCATTGAGAACTATTCTGAGCCACATCACCAATTGTCTCCAGCCTTCATTGGTTTTTACCATCAATCCCTAGGACCCCAACCACGAAACCAGTCTACACCTTCCTACGTGGTTGGCTGACTTAAACTAACTGTTATGGATTTCATTGACTAATTGGGCCATGTTTTGGTTTGACCACCACTGGCTCTTTTCCAAGGTGATCCATCCTATGTCAGCTAACATTGCCCATTGTCGATGAAGGCGATGGCTAGGTATACATTTAGCTTCACAACCTCGTCTATTGATTTCCCCTCCCGCTTACCTAGCACACGATCCACGCCTAACCTCAATATTCCTCACCCAATTATACCACCTGACACACACGGGTAATAGAACGCAGGCACCTGTGATCAAAGATAGCTGGTCAGCCTTTTTTTAATGCCTTCTGCTTTCAGTGGCCATATCTCACAGCCAGACTATAAAGGACGGAATGCACTGCTGAGCAGTACAGCCGTCCTCTGCTCAACAGCCAGCCGAATATCACGTTCACTAAGCCAGAGGCGGCATAAACTGGCAGGTATATGCCAAATGAGCCTTCTGTATCCTTACTGAGATTTCATCAGAGGCTAGCCTGTCTGCTTCGCGCACACCCACCATCCTTCCCTATTTAGAAGGCCATCACCAGGCTGTGGGACCGGGTATGGTGTCTGCTGTGGGGTTGGTTGGTTGGTTGGCAAGAGTATTCTACCGCTGAACCATCGACATACATACATCAGGATGAATCAATGCTTAATATTGATTTATTATTATCGATTAATTAATGACTCTGTGATTAGAGAAATGAAGCTAAAAGAAAAAAAAGGAACTCATTGTTTCGAAATTTACACTTATTGATGAATACCATTCAACCTACTCGCTACTACCACACTAGTACTTCTCACAATAGGATGAGGTACAAAAGAAGAACAGTGAATAACAGTCAGACAGAGATGGTGATCAATGAGTCAGACACACACACATGCACACGCACACACACAGACACAAAAATCTGCCAAAATAACAAGATGGGAATATGAGAAAAAATAATAACAACAATAAACACCAACAACAACAGACAAATCATATAAAACATTAAATGGAATACTTCTTCTTATATAGCCTAATCATCAACACCACCATCATCATCATCATCGTCAGCATAGCTTGTGAATATTTCTCAGTTAAAAATATGAGAAAATCAGTGACTTTCATATTGGTCTGTGTGTATGTGTGTAGGTGTGTGCGTATTGTGGTGTGGTGTGTTGTGTTGCATTAGGAATCAAATCAAGTGAATGCACCTGTTTGTAAATTGTTATTTCTACTAAACAATAAATCATCTACTCTAGTGCGTCTGTGCATCTATAGATGCGTTGTGTGTATGTATGTGTGTGTGTAGGTGGTTATACGTTTGCCTATATACAGTATATGTATATATGTACATTATTGATTATTTCTGTTATTATTATTATTATTATTACTATTATTAACCCAGCTGATAACATAGTGTCTTTAGACACGAGTGGTCCCCCCTTTAGATGAAAGGAGAAATAAGGGGTCTCCTTCATACTCCTCCGTTAACTAACTACAATAGTGATTAGAATAATTGACTGCTGAAGAAATAACACGATGATGAAATTTCGCCAAAAAAAAGTGATCCAGTTCTCTGAGATAAATAAGTCTGCCTGATGAAGAGCCCCAACCCATACTCCTACAATTCGTTAACTCCCGTATTCTGTCTATTATTCTCTATTGTTCCCCCTTAGTTTTTCCAGGGCTGGCTACTGAAGAAAGACTATGTCTTATTACGTAGGGTGTTAGACGTTGTCAGCAGGGTAAGTCACAGGGTGCCACTTAACCAGCTTGTTAATATTCCGGTTGACAGGCACTTGGACTCATGTAAAAAATGGGCTAAATCCATTCTGTCTATCTAACTCACACTACCACCCTCTTCATTCACAACTCTCCCCTTGTATGTCATCAGGGAGAACCAGAAGCCTATATGGAAAACTATATGCTCGCACTAGAAAGTACAAAAACTCAACCATACCCTACTTAGCTCATTTGTGTTCTGTGTGATAAAGAAAGCATTAGACGTGACACCTATAACTTATTGAATAGCCAGTAGAACAATTGGATCTCGTCTTTCCAACTCCTCATATCATTTATAGGTACAGTGTTTTTCTTTCTTTTCCTTTTCTCTCTCTCTTTTTCTGTTATGTGCAGCTTTGTTTCTTTCTTCTGCTTACGCCAGTAAGTATGCTACCATCTACTTTTCTAACACCTTCAAACACTTCTGTTCACTTTTGGCTTTTCTACCGATATGCTAATATGTTGTTGTCAAAATTAACTAACTAAGACTACCCTTAATCTATGTAGAATTTTATTTATTGTTAATGTACAAACTGGATGCAATACTGTAGGTAGTGAAATGCTGAGAATTCCATTTTGTATCGCAAGTACTGTTTTGGAATAAAGCAAATTATTATTATTATTATTATTATTATCATCAAACTAGACTGACGAAACAGCCAGCTGTCCAGTACTCCCTGCCGATTGGTTTTCCAGTGGTTCTCTAATTGATGTCAGCTCATGATGATGAAATCCTCCACTCAATCAAACAAAAAAATACCCACAAAACCATTACTTGAAAATTAATCTGATGCTCACTAGCGACTGGCCCTATTTAGGTAGGCAGTTAACCTGGGATTCTAGTGGGAAGCCATGACCAGTAGGTTACAGCAGGTTGAAGATGAGGCAGTAACTCACTCATCGAAGAAGACATTGCGCCAAGTGGTCGCGCAAACATTCTACCGCTGTCCCACCGACGGCACAACTAAAGCGAAAAATTTTGGTTTCATATTGGTTTTGCAGGAATTTTGTTTAATTGCATGGAGGACTTCATCATGAGCTGACATCAGATAGAGAACCAGTGGAAAACCAACCTGCAGGGAGTACTGAACAGCTAGCTGTTTCGCTAGGAAGCCTGAGACTCTTCATCAGTACGCACCCACTGACACGGTTTGAACCCAGGACCTTCTGGTTACAAGGCTAACGAGCTAGCTCGTAGACCATTGAGCCACTGGGACCCGAAATGATGTCAGCTCATGATGAAATCCTCCATGAAATAAAGCCATAAACATAATATCAAACTGAAAAAAAACTGATTCTGTAAAGAAATTTAAAATACCCAACCCACCTCCTCCAGCTCCGCCACCAGTGCCTGGACGTCCATAGGCAGCAAAATGTTGATTATCCATATACGGTAGACATCCTGTAGCATCGGGTGGATAACCATGTGGGCCTGTTAGTTTATAATTATTAATGAAATTCAATAGACACATATACATAACATACATACATACAAGTATATATATACATATATATAACCATACATAGGCTATCTAATCATTGTATAGTGATAATAATAATAATCTATCTGTCTGTCTGGATTCAACATAGAACTTGGCACCGAAGTGCACCAGTTCGAGTTGCTACGTTCCAAATACCACACAAAGGTAGACAAGAAGATGAGTGAAGAGAATCAATACAGTCTGACAAGTATAAAAGTGAAACAGAATGGGTAATGGTAGAAAGGAATATGAAAGATTACAGAGATTGAATACATCTGCGCTGGCCATTGACAACGATTTTGAGCCATGTCACCTATTGTCTCCAGCCATTGATTCCTAGAGTCAGTCCCGAGGGCCCCAACCCGGAAGTCTGAATCTCCCTACCTCACTGACTCAGTTTAACTGTCAAGGATTTCATGGATTGATGCCATGTGTTTTTGTTTGGCCACCACTTACTCTTTTCCAACCTGCACCACCTATATCAGCTATTAACGCCCGTCGGGGGAGGCGATGGTTAGGCATGCGCAGCACGTGACCTAGCCATCTTAGTCTATGTAACTTTATAGCCTCGTCGATTGATTTTCCCTGTTTACCCAACACTCTACGCCTAACGTCAACATTACTTACCTTATTATACCACCTAACGTGAGACAGAGATCGCAGACATCTATGATCAAAAACAGTCAACCTTTTCATGTCTTCAACTCGTATTGGCCATGTTTCAGAGCCATAGACAAGGACGGAGCGAACTGATGAGCAGTACACACGTCCCTTGGTTGTTGATAGCCGGATGTTACGCCTACGCAAGAGATCCGCGTAAGTTAGCGAAAGCAGCTCAAGCTTTTTGGATCTGTGCTGAGATTTCGTCGCCAATCAGTCCGTTGGTGATACTGATACAACTTCCCAAACAAATAGGTGAAGTGGTGGTCAACATGTTCTATCACTTCACTCCCTATCACTAAGCTAGGAGTTGACGTAGTCCAGTCCTGTAGCAGCAGCATCTTACATTTTACAGGGGGCGAGTCGCATGCCAAACATACGAAGATTGCCAGCCGGTCAAGGTGTTCAGAAGACTCTGCATTTTGTCAGCATCCTCTCTTAACAGGAATATGTCATCTGCATATTCTAATAATGATAATAATAATAATAGCCACTAGATGGAATTATAACCGGATAGATAATAAATCAATTGGCGCATATATGTATATGTATTTATCCCAATTGACGGAGAAATCCCCTATACGTTAGATGATGATATGATAGCATCGCTCCGTCCCCCGCTCCAACCTACTGCTTCCCACTCCACACACACGCCTCCCCTACCTGTTCTCCTCTAACTCAACTCTACACACACACACACACAAACAAACACACAAACAGACATATATATGATGTGAAAACGGCATAGAAATTAGAATGGATTATCAAATTACCCAGAGAAATAACTGGCTGACTAACTGACTGAATAAATAAATAAATGGATAATTCATTAATTATTCCGGTTATCAGTTATAGGATAATAATAATAATGACAATAATAATAGTAATAATAATAATAATAGAAGGGATTACTGTAGGAATAAGAAGAAAAGACCTGACCAGAAAGAAGGAAAGAAAATCACTGGACCCATCAATGATTAATATTCATTAATGATAATAATGATAGTGAAAGAAATAATCATAAACTAGTGATAATGATAGCCGGTAACTCCATCAAAGTGTAGTTGTGTGTGTGTGTGTGTGTGTGTGTGTGCGGGCTATGACTACCGGGCAGCGGAGGGGAGGGGAGGGGAGATTGGAGTAGAAATGTTTCTTGTTTTTAATCCTATGGATTATCTCAACAAGAACAAGAATAACAACAAGAGGGAGAAGAAGCCAACGATACTACTGAAATAGATATATCGAATATGGTGATTAGACATTTGAATAAAAATCGATATAAGATACCGTACATTCAGTGTTATCAATCAAAAATAATGCTGAAACCAGTAGCGACAACATAAATAAGAGAGAATGTAAGTAATCTACTGTTATACCATATAAGGAGGGGACATCTGAGACCCTCCCTACGTAGGATTCTTAATAAAGCAGGAATTACGGTGACATAGAAACCTACAAACTCACTCAGAGAAAAGCTCTCTAGGCTAAAAGACCCTATCGGTGGACCCATTTAAACAAAATAATATAATTTACAAAATACCCTACAATGACTGTGAGTAAGGTCAACTAAGTAGGTCAAACTAGTAGATCAGGAGTAGTGAGATTGCCTGTCAGCACATAATAATTTAGCTAAGGTTACAATGATTCACCCCACCTATGAAGATAAGTAATCTAGGAAAAAGCTCAGCAATTGCAATACATGCGCTAACACACAATCACACAATAGGGTGGTGGGAGATGGCTAAGATTCTAAGAAGTAATCTATGTAGGTGGAGAGAGAGAGAGAGAGATTGATTACTGAATCGTGCCTGGTTCATCGAGTCTACACCCAACACTTGCAACAGAAATGACTCAATGCAAATACCAGAGATATGCATGGAAGATATTATTACCACCAGTCAGTCAGTCAGTCAAATCACAGGAGGATAATAAATAATCTTAAAATTCTATTTTAATTCAATTCAAGCACATCACAACATTCTAACAAGTTACTAATTTTGACTATGAAAACACTCGTCGTATTTCCCATTTGATTGTGTTTGATCAATAACACTCGTATTATTATTTCTGAATGTACATTATCCTGTATTGATTTTTATTCAAATGTCTAATCATCAATTTCACTCATGTAGATAAATGAAGCAAGAAAGTTGTGTGAGTGAGTGGCAATAGTTTGTGCTTGAAACGTGCTCGCATCAGTTAATATTACAGTATAACACCACTGTGTGATTTATCAAAATAAAATTTTATCTATAATGGAGTTATATACTCTACCACCACAGTGCCCAAGATTTATACCCCTATATCAATAACTCACTTCCAAACCTCGCTTAGCTGGTTATAGGCCTGGTAAAGAAGGAAGACTGATAAGCATGAGGCTGACAATCCCACCGCGTAAAACTAACAGTACCACTGTTACCAAAACTTCAAAGCTCTAGCTTGAAGTCACCTTATGTTCCACTTGGAACGTAACGGAATGAAATAATAATTTCATACAAGCCTGGAGATCTCTGCAGGAGAAAGACACAGGCGATGAAGATATCACGCCGACCACAACCACAACCACCAACAGCAACAACAAGAACAAACACCAATCAATATTAATCATCTAGACAGCAGGCTAACAGTGCACGGAAGAGGATGTTAAACCCGATCAACATCAGTCTTCAATATAAGAAACAAGATCTGGATTTTCAAAACTACTGTCCGTTTAGTTAATGCTTCTTTATCTTGCTTCATGGAAAGCATTTGCAGTAGTCTACTGTAGACTTCCATCAACAACTGCCTACTTCTCTGGCCTCCTAGTGAAGATTAGATGGCCGTAATAAGAAGGAATAAGTAACAAATCTACCGAAGAATTGGAGGCATGCTGAAGAGACCGCCGAATGACATTACGTACTAGACCAAAAAGTGGAAGCTGAATGAGAAACAACGAGTTGGATGGATTTAAAGGAAGGCGACATGGGGGAGATCGTGTGAACAGTGGGGGGAGGGGGGCAGGAGATGAGAACTTATGAGCAATCGTGGAGATGCTGAAGCCGCATGCTTCATTCGAAACACAAAGTATTACTAATAATAAATCTAAATCAAGGTATCTTGAAAAAGCAAACAGATAAGAATCTCTACTAGGAGGAGAGGAACACATCTGATCCGCCTTCCGGCATCAAATAGCTATATTAATTAAGTAATGTGAGCACGCGAAAGCTACTCCTAAGGCTAATTAATTAATTCATATGACAACTCATATTCATCATAATATGGAATAGGTGAAGCATCGGAGAACCTGTCAAGCATTCTGCAAAAAGACGTCAGCATAGCATGAGATACACACATACATATAGATAGAAAGACAAACAGATAAACATATGGAGAAGTCCACACTAAACAGAGTATTTGGCCTCCGATGACAAGACGTAGATGCTCCAACGACGGATGGTGACTAGAAGTGCAATCTCCCCCCTCCCCCAGGATGTATATTTCATCCCACTTAGAACTCGTTAGCTAGAAGATGTACGTGCAACCTCTAACGAGTCAATCATAAAGTTCTCACCGCGACTCGAACCCAGGGCCTATTATGTTTCAAACGCCAAAATGTCATCCATTTTCCCTACAATACTACTAGTACTACTAATATAAGTAGTAATTATTGTTTTTAGATAAAATGACAATAAGTAACAATATGCATTTTAGAAGCAAGAACATACCTGCTCGATTCGATTGATCAATCATTGGTTGAACAATACGTCTTCGTGCATTAATAAACCTGGAGAAACAACACAGAAATAAACAAAATGATGAGGGGAAAAATGATAATGAAACAAACGCGCACATACACACACACGCCCACACGGAGACATTTTTCGTCATTCCTTGAGTTCACTGAAGGATCCTTAGGTCTGAGAGGATCAAATTGCAACTCTACGCATCATCATCACAGAACAAAGCATGGAATGACAATCAAACCTCTACCTCAACTTTATTGACTTTGAGAAGGCCTTCGACAGACAGCGATGACCGCGAAGTAATTCGGAAACTACCCGAGTACTACGGCGTGCAGCGCTCAAATATTCATCAACCTTATTCAACAGCTGTACGACAACGGTACATGTCAAGTCATCCACAACGGAAAACTCAGCGAGAGGTTTGGAGTAAACACAGGAGTCAGACAAGGGTGCTTATTATCACCCACGTTGATATTCCTAATTGTCGTGGTGTCTGAACTACAGGGGAATGGACGAGGATGTCAAATCGAGCGAGAATCGGGAAGGCAGGCGAGAAACACACACATTCATCATCAACCAACTGAAACCAATCTGGACACCAATCTTCGTCACTCAGCCAGCCAGAATCAACAACAAAATTCAGTCGGATTTTCAATACAAACAAGGTCAATTTAGTCAGTTCTTCTATACGGAACGGATCAGAAACTTGGTGGGTGAGTCACAAAGAATATTTCCACCAACAGCCTGTTGCAGACGTTACCTTTATCAACCGACAACTGTCTTCACTGCTGGCTCTATACTGAAGATCAATCAGATGGCCGGGCCGGGCTGGAAAGAACCACCAACTATGGGGAACTATGGGAACAAACAAACAAAACAAGAACCAACCAATCGCCAACCAACACATATGCAGTTGGAGAAAGTGGATTGAGATGGACTGGACACTCGTTGAGGAGGCCAGTTAGTGACATCGCGCGCGTGTCAGGCCATTGCTGGATTGGAACCCTAAAGGAAAGAGGCGAGTGGGTCATCGGTGCAAGGGTGAGATGGAGGAGATCGTGTGAGGAGGAGTTGAAACAGTATAGACTAACATGGATGCAGGTGAAAAGTAGATGACAGCAGAAGACAGAAGCAAGTGCAGACGTGCAGTTGAGGCCCTATGTTCCACTGGGAACCCAAGGGAACAATAATAATAATAAGGCTGAGAGTGTTGTTTTACATGTTGGTATTGATAGATCCACACACACAACCTTTTAATGAGTCGTTGGGGGAATGGAATCCGCATCTGTTTCAGTCAGCCACATATGGGTGAGGTATAGGCTGCCTGCCTGGAATCTTCGGAATCAATAAAAACTAATTGCTGGAGGTGTGACTCAAGTTTGTTCTCCATTGCACAGATACGCTCAGTCTTTGTGATCTTTTCTATGTCCATTAAACCAACCTGAACCGATGCAATTATGTGCACAGTTCCAGTTTGTAACTTACTCAGTCAGCCGAAATCGCTTCGTGATAAAAAAAATTAATAAATAATGATGTCAAATAATTACTGTATTCATTGATTATTTTCTCAAAAATCTTCTAGAGAAAAATTCAGTTTCTGCCCTAGTTTCTTTTATTCTTTATTCTTGTTTACAATTGGGATTATCTGTCCACTCCTCGTCCTCCGTCCCGTCCCGCCCCATCCCGCTCCGCCTCCCCCACATTACTATCGGCTATTTAACATGAAAAGGAGATCCTTTCTATGATTGTATAACCTCTATCCCTTCGAAAAACCTCTTTTTCTCTCTCTCTCTCCTTGTAATCCTGCTTCCTGCCTAATAGAATCTACTATTCCTCTCTCTCCCTCTCTAAAGTCAGAAAATTCTCTAAAAACAAACACCCGACTTCCTTCTTTTGAAATTTATCTGAGTGTATCACTCTCTTTGTTTGTGTGTGTGTGTGTCACGAGCGAGCGCATTAGTTTGTTGTCATGCCCTTAAGAATAAGAACAAATAGACAGAGATGCCAAGATGCCGAAAAGAAACACGATAATCGAAGCGTCGGGTTATTTATACTACTAATATTAGTAGTACTTACTAGTATTATTTTTTAATCCTATTTTTAATATTGTTATTCTCTGCCCATAGGCTGAATAGCATTCATTATTATAGAATTTATCTCCAAGATATTAATTAATTCTGTAAAGAAAATTAGTAAAATGACTTCAAGAGACTTGAAGAAATGAATCACTGTATCAACAAAATTTATTGTTTGTTTGTTTGTGTGTGTGTGTGTGTGTACGTGTTTAGAGGTGGTCAATGGATTACCCTCAGGAGTACTATCATTTCATTTTGGTCTAAATGAAAGATATTCATTCAGAATGGATTTATAACTAATAATGAACTTTGAAGTTCCACTAGTAATGGCTTTCTATCGACTAGGTAAAGTTAAGGAGTTCTTTGATTGACCGGGAGTCGAACTCTGAACCGGATGCGTGATTGACGTAAATTTCATGTACTGTCTATATATATAGAGAGAGAGTGCGTGTGTGTGTAGCTGGAGGTAACCGGCTACAGGAAGCCTTACCCGGACCTAGGTTTCGTGCTAGTTGGCACTGACACCAGTCAGTCAGCAAGGCGTATCTGCAACCGCCTTGAAGGAACTCATATCCCTTCTGAGAGCTTAGTGGTAACGTCTCTAACTGCAGCACTCACTGGGTGACGCGAGTTCAAATCACAGATACGCCTTGCTGAGTCGTGTTAACTAACACAAAACCTAGGTACAGTCAAGGCTTCCTGTGGTCGATAGCCTCTAACCATCTAATACCATAAAATCAATGTGCACCGTGATGGCGAGCTACCTAGAATGATGGCCACATTGCAAACTTGGCTGACTGATAGAATTTAGTCTGCACCAAAGACAGGACTAGACATATCAAACTAGTTACCAGTGTCAAACCAAAAGAGAGAGAGAGAGACAGTATGTACTGGAGATAGATACACTTTTGAAATATTGCAGTGGAGCCTGGTACTTCGGTCATTCAACCCGTATCCTGTCTAAAAGGGTTCTACCGCATGGATGCAGAAAGGTAGTAGTGACTCTATAGACAGTGTGATCAAATCAAACACCTTGTCAATACTGATCATCAGCATTCCATGCCAAAAAAAAACGCCTGCTTTCGGGGTAATCTACAAAGTGAAGATGAGTAGTTTGTCAAAGACAGACAGTACGTTTTCGTCCCCTTTTCACTACTGAAGCCTTAGCCATTCTCAAACAGAAAGTCTGCAACTTTGAGTACAAAAGTAAATTATTCAATCACTTCTATTGTCATGGTAACAGCCTTATTGATTTCTAAAGAATTGATTTTTGTTTGTTTGTCTGTTATTCTAACCGTTGATAACTCTTGTATTTCTTTAGAACTGTTACATAATTTTCTATAGTTTGGTTTGTAAGGGTTAGTTATGCTTTTACGAGTTGACCACGGATTGATATCAGTTAGAGAACCATTGAAATCCACCAGGGAGTACTGAACAGTGAGGTCCATCCAGATGGTCGACGACCATGCACATGGTCCGGGGTTCGAGCCCACACCGGCGCACACCAGATATCTATGGTCGGCCTGCGAATTTTGGGCTACCGATAACCACGCTGAAAATTCCATACTTGTACCAAAAACCGGAAAATTCCAAAAATAAAAAATGTAACGTGTGAGGATGGATGTCACACAGACGACAATGATTGGTTGGGATCGCGCAAAGTCATGAATTGGTAGAAGTTAGAATTCATGGGTTAGCCATTGAATCAGGTGGGGTCCCAGTGGCTGAATGAGTATACGAGGTAGCTTGCCTTGTAACCGTAAGATCCTGGGTTCGAGTCCCAGCGGGTGAGGACTTCCGATAATTCCCAAACTAGAGTGATGAAACAGCTGGCTGTCCAGTACTCCATGCTGGCTTTCAATGGGTTTTTTTATTTGATTTACAGCTTGATTCCACACTGTATTTTCGGTACAAGTATGGAATTTTCAGCATGGATATCGGTAGCCCAAATTTTGCAGGCCTACCATAGATATCAGGTGTGCGTCGGTGCGGGCTCGAACCCCGGACCATGTGCATGGTCGGCGAGAATCCTAACCACTATGCCACCGACGCACAGGGTTCTCTAACTGATATCAATCCATAATCAACTCTTACATAATTCCATATTTCCGTTGGTTTCTAGGAGCATCCTGAATACAACTCATTCACCATTAAATTATTCATCCTATTACATAACTATAATACACTTAATCAACTCCTCTTATACATTGACTGATATATTAACGAATATGTTTGTGACAACTCATCACGTTTGTTATTATCCTTTTTCGTCAAAAGGAGATTGAATATATATAAAAGTGACTGTACAGCTGAAGAGGGAAATGAATATTCCGCCGAAAAGAGCCCCTGCGCTAAACCAACTTTCCAAAAAATTCCCACGTACTCACTTAGAAGGGGATGGGTATCTTTATGACTAGACGAACAGAGGGGATAATATCTAAACGTTTCCACAGAAAAATATGCTCACATCTGTGGGCCTCGTACCTCTACACTACACAAAGTAATCTGGTTAGATGTCTGATTCACTGGGCTAGCTAGAGTTATCTGTTCATATGAGGCACTGAACGAAGAACTCGGTTAAACTCGGCTATTTTCGTGAACAAGCACATGAACTCAGAATGTACAAGGTTGAAGGTGCACAGTTTTCCGAAAAAATTAGTCTTCTTGAAATTCCAATTCATGGATGATGTTAGAAGGCCCATAAAAAGGACTTTCAACGCAGCTAAGCTATGCTGTATATTCGCTAGTCAATCAATACTTAGTTCAATAAATAAAGGCATACTGCATTGTTTCGCCTCTTCCATGTGTATTTACCAGTTTAACTGCGGATGATCAGGGGAGTTCAACGTCATCAGATTTCTGAACACCTCCCATCTTGGTTTAGCAAAGGTGAGAATAAAGCTGCTATATATGCAGTTCAATGCTAGCTCATCTCGTTGATAGTGTCTGGACATCAAAGCGACTCACTATAACAAAGCGTTTAAAGTTATTTCTCGTGTGTCATCCAAACCCTCGCCACATGGTCCACAAGTCCCCCAATCGAAATCCATCTGAACAAGCCAAATCTGTGAGTGTTCGAAAGAAATTTAGCCTATTTTTTGTATTAGTGTTTGTGTGGTGATTCTTCACGAATGTATATACATATATATAGATGACTGCTCAAATAGAGAAAGCACATGAACTCACCAGTTATTAACTTGTAAGATGGTTAAACCGGTATCAGTGGCCAACTGTTTTTTCTGTTCTTCAGATGGATAGGGATGCTGTTTTTAAAAATATATAAAGTAGAAGAAAATTGTCATAAATATGTATATACAACGTATAGAAAAAGAAAATTCCCTTGGAGGAACTGAAAATTGTAGCCTACTTATATCGTTTATAAGTAGTTTAATAGAAAAGAGACTAATATTTCACTGATTGGTTTATTTCAGCTAATCAATAGTCAGTCATATTATTATTGTTCCTTTAAGCTGCCTGGCTAACATTTAAATCGTTATTTGTTGTACCATCTAAAGACAATTGTTACGTCTGTTCTTTACTTTTTCGTAATTCCTTTACACATCTCAGTGAAAAGTGAGAAGTCGTGACCAGTAGGGTACAGAAGGTCAGGTGTGAAGACAAGTACTCCCCACGGATGATATTGGCTAATGGTTGAGCTATATCGTGAATTGGCAGCAGTTAGAATTCATTGGTTGGCCATTGGATTGGGTCCTAATGGCTTAATAGTATACGAGGTAGCTCACCTTGTAACCTCTCTCGGCGGGTACATACTGATGAAGATTCCCGAACTAGGACGAAACAGCCGTCCAGTACTCCTTGCAGGTTTTCCAATGGTTGTCTAACCAATGTCAACTCATGATGAAATCCTGTAATCGTGAATATAGAGTTTCTGACGCCAACGACAGTGATGGTGTCTTTTTCTCCAAACTTACTTCGGACCTTCCCTCAATTTTTTGAAACTTACATATGGCTAGTGGAGTACTAGGTAAGGGTTCGGAGTAAGTAAGTCTTCTGAGGATTAAACCTGATATATTTGTGCATGACTGATGAACTACCGAAGCACATCATCTCTAACGAAGGCCTCTTCTGTGTAATACCTGATTGGTGGTTAAATGTTGCTTGATCATCATACTTTCTGCAAATGTATCTGCTCCATATTCATGGAGAGTAGTGAACTGTGTGTGTGTGTGTTAAGCAGATACATCGTATGAAGAAACACGCATTACTACTGAGGGTTAGGTGGTTAGAGGCAATCGGCCACAGGACGCCTTGCTTGACCTAGGTTTTGTGCTAATTTGGCACTCAGCAATCAGCAAGGCGTATCTGCAACTGCCTTGAAGGAACTCATATCCCCCTCTCTGGATTCGAACCCACGTCACCCAGTGAGTACTGCAGTCAGAGACGTTACCACTGAGCTATTTGGGCTGGCTCGCGATTGACCTCCTGTAGGACTGTAGTGGATAGTGATGGTGAGCTACTTAGAATGGTGGCCACATTGCAAACCTGACTAATGAAAATCAGTCTGCACCAAATAAGGACTTGACACATCACACTAGCTACTAGTATCCAATCAAAACTACTGAGGGTTAATCATATCTCAGCATTAATCATTATGAAATAAATCAATTACAGAACTTCTGATAGTTGAAATGCATTCAGTCACCATCTCTGGCATTTGTGTGTAAATGCTATCTGAAGAGAAATTACCTGTTGTCCAATCCACACTGATTTTGCCGCCTACTCATGAAATAAACCACAGTATACCTTAGTGTCTCCATTGTTCAGTGATAGAAGGCGTCCCCTTCGAATCAGAATCCAGGAACACAAATCAGCCATGAAAAGACACGATATATATTCCCGTTTCTTATCAATGCATGTAGATAATTATGGACACTGATTTGGTGATTGGGATAATGTCGAAATCTTAGACAGAGGAAACACCAAAAGTACAGTCAACGGACTCCTAGAAGCCTGGTACTCAAACGAATCAGCAATTAACAAACACGTTAATATAGACCAAATATACCAACGGATGAAAAATAAATCAGGTGACCAGAAAGTTTAAAATCCAAGTCAATAGAAAATGATGGTTTTCGGGAGATGCAATTCTATCACTCATGGAAAAATTTAAATCATTTCACTTTATGCTAAAAATTGCGCTGAAGGCGGGGATGTTGTCCAGAAGGACGAACGACGAAAGCTCCTCAACTAAACCAACCAGCTCAGAGAACACTGCTAATTGCAAATCATCCACCTAAGCTACAAATCTTCTCTATTATTCCAATCACACACACACATGTTGCCCAGAATTCATTTCCCCGATTGACACAGTCCTTGTAGTAAGCTCAAGATCCCAGACATGAAGCTCTATGCTTCATTGGGGAACTCAGTGGGATAAAGGAGTCAATTGCATACCTGAAACATGCTTAGTATAATAATGCTAACTGTAGTCACAGCAACACAACTTATAATATATACACTCACTCACCCCCCCCCACACACACACACACAAACACACAAACGTTCACTCATTTCCAACACTTACTGATAAATGTTGAAATAACCATGCACGCATAATATTTGTCGCCGCTTTAGGAAATATTCCACGTTTCTTTTGACGTTTAATTGATTTCTCCTCTAGGTCGAATTCATCAAGATTTTCACCTGATCCAATAGAATTATCGATTCCATCACCTGTGAATAAATAGAATAATAGTAACAATAATGATTACTGCTCAGTTTCAAATGATATAACATAACAGTTATTCCTCTGTTGTAGGTATGTTTCCTCTCGCTTAATGACATTACACGCCAAACAGACTCCCCCCACCCCCCCACCTAATTGGAACCAGGCGACTTTGGAGGAGATCATCAGAAGAAGCGAATGCAATAAAAGTTTCTCAGTGTGGTTGTTGAATCAGTCAGTTGTGAAAGCAGTGACAATGAATCGAGTGGAATAACACAAAAAAATGTCGATAAAGAAAGGAAGACGAAATTTGCAGTATAAAATGATATTGACATCATTCTATTTCACAGGTTCTCATCAGCTGCACACCACTACCTGAAATTACAATGATTTTATAGACGATAATGACATACTTTAATTTTCTATTGTTTGGTTTGTAAGGATTAGTTATGTTTTACGGGTTGATCACGGATTGATATCAGTTAGAGAACCATCCTTACAAACCAAACTATAGAAAGTTAATCTGATGCTCGCTAGTGACTTGCTACAGGTTGGAGTTTCCTGAGTTCTAGTGAGAAGTCGTGCCCAGTGAGGTGCAATTAGATGTCACGTGTGTGGATGGATTTCCCACCAACGACAATGGTTGGGGTCGCGCTAAATCACGAATTAGTAGAAGTTAGAATTCACGAGCCATTGAATTGGGTCCCAGTGGCTGAATGGTATACGAGCTTGCCTTGTAACCGGAAGGTCTTGGGTTCGAATCGCACTGTGTGGGTGCGTACTGCCGATGATTCCCAAACTAGGATGAAACAGCAGCTGTCCAGTACTCCCTGGTTTTCAATGGTTCTCTAACTGATATCAATCCGTGATCAACCCGTAAGACATACTTTAATGTTTGAGTGATGGTAGAGAAGAGATACTATAAAACTAACGCATTCAAAATGAAAGTATTACAATTATTTTAGTTTAAGTTCTTTCAAAGTAGAAAAGAGGAGGGAACAGGTAAGAGAGAAAACATTAAAAATTAAGAGATAATGTTAATTTGTAGGTTCACAAAGCAAAGCAAAGAAAAGCGGTTACAGTTTATGAGATTGAGATTTGTTCAGTGAGTTGAGATCACTGAATTAGATGACTAATTAATTAATGTAATCAAGAGAGTGAGAGGTTATTCACACACTCTCTTTCTGTATGTATAAGTCTGGTTTAAATCGTTCGATTGCAATCGCTTCGACAAATCGTGGTAAATTTTCTGTCCTTTGTCTATTTAATATTTTGAAGGACTTAGAAATCTCCTCTACGAGATGTCCGGTATCAACACTCTGAGAATATTTGCTTCCTTTGAGGCATAGGTTTTTTGGAATATGTTCTACAAGCTAACACTGTTCTGTCAAACAATTTTTCTGTTTTCTGTCTTACCCCTCCCCTCTCTTTTCAATTTTAAAAGCGTATAACTTGATGATGAAATCTTAAACTAAAATAATTGTAATACTTTCATCTTGGATGCATCAGTTTTATAGTATCTCTTCTCTCCTACCACTTAAACATTAAAGTATGTCATTATCGTCTACATAACCATTGTAATTTCAGGTAGTGGTGTGCAGCTGATGAGAACCTGTGAAATAGAATGATGTCAATATCATTTTATACTGCAAATTTCGTCTTCCTTTCTTTATCGAAATTTATCAAGGGAATCAAATGAACAAAAAATGTGTTGTTAATGGTGTTGTTAATTGTCTTTGTCTCCTCACGCATCACTATCACCGCCATTCACGTAACTGAGAGCTGGGGGTTTCAACTAGGTGATCAACCTAAGCCTACTTAATCTGTAAAAATCAATACTAGGGGAAGAATTACTCAAAAGTTGGAAGCACTACATAGATAGCTCTTTCATCAAAGTTTTGGGATACTGTAAACTATTGTAAACTATTGTATCCCAAAAGATCATGACAAATCTCTATCGACCAATCAAATGCGTCCGAAGTAAAGGCGGGTAATTTGAAGAAGAAAAAAAGCAATGCAATGTTGAATAACAGTTATATAAGAGAACGACGTTCTTGTGCATGTTCACAGCCTCGTCTATTAATTTCCCCTCCCACCTACCTAGCACTCGATCCACGCCTAACCTCAATATTGCTTACTTTATCATACCACTTCACACAGGAGACAGACCGCAGGCACCTATGATCAAAGACAGCTAATCTTTTCATATCTTCCACTCTCTGGCGATAGCGCCACAACACGAAGTAATGCAATCTGGAATTCACAGGTTATTGAATTTTGCACCCCCCCCCATCGTAACCTGAAGCTCAATGGTTCGATCTCTGACATTCTCAGGGCTGGGATGAATGCCTCCTTCAGAAGAGTTCTAAATTAGGACGAAACAGTTGTCCAATCACTTCCCTGGTTGGTTTTCAATGAAACAAACTGACCACTCATTATGTGAATCCTGAGAGATGTATGTCCATTATAATTAAATTATTATTATTATTGAAAATTAAATAAAATAAATCAGACAAAGTAGTATAATTTAGGTACCATTACCTGCTTCACTATTCATATCTTGACTTGCATTACCATGACTACGAGACATTGGGGTATTAGATTGTGACAGATTCTGTGACATATGCGTCAGTGAAGAATGCGGATGTTGGTGTTGCTGTTGTTGATTATGATGCTGATGAAGATTATTATGATTTTGGCGCCCTATACCACCACCACCACCACCTTGATCAACCATAACATGTTGATTATTATTAGTTGCAGTACGCCCACCACCTCCTGAATTATCAGACGATCGACCACGATCTCCACCCCCGCCACCCCCACCACCATGACCCCCGCCGACATCTCCTCCTCCATCCCCACCACGATGATTATTACTGGAATTTCCACCACATCCGGATGTTCCACCATTACGATGACCGGAATTACCTCCACCAGCACCACCTAGTCCACCATTTGGACTTGTCCGATCATCTGCATCCGGTGACCGTCGACTACCAACACTTCCAAGTAATGGGGAGGAATTCTACAATGACAAAAGGAACAATAAATAGTAACTATGTTTATTATACTGTAGCTATATTATCCTTATTATTATTATTACTATTAATATTAACATAAATTAGAATTATAATTCAGAGATCAAAGGGGAAGATACGTTCACATCATATTCTCTATAGGTTATATTTGGGCGTATGTTTATCTGTCTATCTATCCATACATTAATACGTGTGTATATATGTATTATGTATGTATGCCTGGGAATAATAGAATCGCTACTATATGGACACATATATATATGTACGATAGAAATACAGACACACACACACTAAATACATACAAACCTACATACATATATCGCTTGTCAGTATCGTCAAAGCTGACAATACACCCATGCACACACATACACACACAGTCACTTTGCGCACAAACTATTGTCTGTACAACATCAGTTTTATGGTAGTAGGAGCAATATTAATGGTAATAATTCTAATAATAATAATAATAATAATAATAATGGTAGTCCCGAAAATACAATTGTCAAAATGATTATTTATGGAATGAGGAAATTAAAAAGAGGAACAGGGAGAGAACCGAAAAATGAAAGCAGAACAACAAACGACAATGTCCGTTTCCTGATTATGATTGTTATTGTCAGTGTACTGTAATGTACTGTACTATGCGCTGTTGGTTGTTTATATGTCCAATCTAATCCAATATAATACAATACAATAGAATGTATTGTAATGCAATGGTTATAAATGCATTGAAAATCATGTCGTTTATCGTTGTTATTGGTACAGCGTATGCCTGCGCATCCAGCTATCTATCTATCCTTCTATCTATCTAACTAACTAACTAGCTAACTATCTATCCGACTGTGTGCATGTCCGTGGAGCTATTAATGGAACTCTTTTTTCCCGTGTATACACAGCTGTCACGCCTACGCACACACACACACACACACAGACAGATGACAGAGAGGCAAAGAGCGCGTCCGTGTGCGCACGTTCACTCACGGATATAAATCAACATACCTGAATGTATATACGCCCTTGTCACATATAAATAAAGTCAAATTGGGACGAGTGAGAGAGAGAGAGAGAGATAGGAACAGGGGATTTGTGAAAGGAGATGTTAAACACTTAAAATGTAAAACGACAGAGAGACGAGTGAGGAGGGAGAAAAGGAGAAGGGTAGTGAATTTAGGGCAAAAATCAAAAGTGTACATACCGTCATACATACACACATACAAAGATACACCGGAGCATAGATGCACAAGTATTAATAGGAGATATGACAACAATATTCTATAATACATATGGAATAACAAAGGGAAATTATTGTAGATTAAAAAAATCTATACTGTTATGATTATTATCGTTAATAATTTGCTTAATGACTAACGCTAAATTGAATTTATCCCTTGTCAATTAGTGTCTTGTATGTTTGTTGTGTGTGTGGTGTTGTGTGTGAGAGAAAGAGAGAGTACAGCGATATAGGCTCTTCTTCAATATATATTTCTCGATTATCGTCACCACAGTTATAAACCGATAATTACTCACAGAGAGAGAGAGAGAGAGAGAGAGAGAGTTAGTGATGATGCTATTGTCAATAATAACTGCCATACAGTTGTGCGCTTATTAATGAACTCTTATTTTCATTGATGTAATAGCTAGTGGACCAGAGATTTTGCTTATAGTTTTGAAGTGTGTATTAACCGCATAGATTATCCTTTTAGCGATTTCTAAAAGAATATTTCGTCTGACTTTTTACATTAAGAAGAAGTTAAGGTTCTCAGGTATAACCCAACGACTACTCCTCTTACAGTTTGTCAACTCGTGCATCTCACCTATTCTTCTTCTTTACTGTTCACCCTCGCTTATTCTTTCCTGGATTGCTTCGTAGAACTCTGAAGACTGTCAGTCAACAGTACGACTGGTATCCCATTTCCGGTCATATCGTTGACAATGTCATTGATGATAGGCACATGATGTCATGCAATAAATTTGCTAAAGGAATTTTGTCAGACTCTGACACCCACTACAGCACCCGCAGCTCCCACCTTGTGTCTCCTCCTCAGGTAAAACAAGAAGTCTTTTCAGAAGACTTCATGCACGTATGTCTAAGTATAAAAATTCCACTATACCATATTTCGTGGTACGTACTTTATGTGATGAAAATAGTGTCAGGCATGAACTAACTAACTAACTAACCCTCTTTGCACTATTAAATAAACCATTTCCTCTACCCTTTCAACATCAGGCTTTGTTGTTATTGTACTTCTTATATTTATAATCCTCTCAATTTTTTTGAAATTTTTATTTGTTTATTTTTTCATAAGTGTGAACATCATTTAAGCTGTGTTATTATAACTGTTAATTTTGTATTTCCCTTCACCATGCTGGTATATCAACAAAACATTAGATTCAATAATCTATAACATGCTAAAATGTATGCAATTCAGTATGTGCATATGTAATTCAAGGATGACAAATTTGAGTTCGGCTAACAAATCGATTTTTATTTCATATTCATATCAGTCTAACGATTTATAAGTATTTAACTCAAATTTAGATTTTCCCGCCGACTGATTGGACCGAAGTGCTCGGTCTCAGGTTGACCGTACCCTGTATCCACCAATTAAATTCGAATTACATGCTCACACATTGTTGAAGCATCTGAACAAGAAACCGACAGACATGTCAACCTGAAACCGAGCATTTCGGTCGAATCAATCGACGGAAAAATCTAAAATTTAAATAAATAATTAATATGACCTGTTGAACAAAAGGTAGTGGCTCTCTCGTGGCTAACTCTTAGGCGTTTGAAACTAATACCGCTGGGTTCGAGCCTCGGTGGGAACATCATCACTCGTTAGGGAGAGTGCAGGTACATCTGTTAGCTGACGAGTCTCAAATAGGACGAAATGCGTGTTTTTCTGGATTCTACACTGCTCTAGTCACCACCATCCACCAATCAACTTCTGATTTCTGATTATGTTAGATAGTTGGAGGCAATCGACTACAGAAAGCCTTCCACCTAGGTTTCGTGTCATTTGGCACTCAACAGTCTGTCAGCAAAGCGTATTTGCAAGCATGAAGGGACTTATATCCCTTGTGAGACTCGAACCCAATATTCTAGTTGGCCCATGATCATGGTACACTCTGAATGATTGTCATCAGATTCTTGGAGGTATTATTATTATTACATCCTTTAGTTCCTAGAGGAATATAGGGCTTCAGCTGCGCACCTCCATTGCCTTCGGTTTTCTGCTAACTTTTTCACTCCGCTCCAAGTCTGCCCACATGCTTTCATCTCCTCCTCGCATGACCTCCTCCAAGTCACCCTTGGACGACCAACTCGCCGCCTCCCTTTCGGGTTCCACTCGAGCAATGGCTTGTCTAGTGATGTCACTTGATGGTTTTCTTAGGGTGTGACCAATCCATCTCCATTTCTTCTGCCTATTTGTTTCACAATCGGTTCCTGGTTGGTTCGCTCCCAGAGATCTTTGTTGCTGATCTTTTCTGGCCATCTGATCTTGAGTATTGAGCAAAGACAGCTGTTGATGAAGATCTGAAGTTTGTTTGAGGTGCTCTTTATGACTCGCCAAGTCTCTGATCCGTAATGAAGCACTGACTTTACATTGGAGTTGAAAATCCGGATCTTATTTTTGATGCTGAGTGCTGTTGACCTCCACACAGACTTCAGAGTAATGAAAGCCTGCCTTGCTTTTCCGATTCTGGCTTTGATATCCTCGTCAGTTCCACCTGTAGTTGAAACGATACTTCCCAGGTAGGTAAAGAAGGCTGTTTCTTTCAGGTTCCTCCCATTTATGCTGGCTGATTGTGTCTGTTGTTGTTGGCCAGGAATCTTCATCACCTCTGTTTTATCTATGTTCACTTGAAATGAAGTCCTATCTTTGATGCTTCTTCTGCCAACTTGTTGCTTTTCACTTTCATATCTTCCAATTTGTGGGAAATCAGACATATATCATCGGCGAAGTCCAGATCCTCCAAGTTCCATTTTTGTGTGAGCCCATTTTATGCCTGTTTCCTCATCGCCCGCCGTTTTCTGTCGCATTATCCAATCTACTGCAATCAGGAAGATCACTGGTGATAGTAGACAGCCTTGTCTCACTCCCGTCCTGACTTCGAAGGCTTCCGTAAGTTTTCCGTTGTGGATTACTTGGCATGCAGCATTGTCGTATAACTGTTGGATGAGATGTATAATTGTCGATGGGACCCCGTAGTAGCGAAGTAGTTGCCAAATCACCTCTCGAACGACTCTGTCCGCTGAAGGCCTTTTCAAAGTCGATGAAGTTGAGATAGAGAGGTGACTGCCATTCTATTCTTGGAGGTGATCGATCCAAATAGTTGCTCAGTGGTAACGTCTATGACTGCAGTACTCACTGAGTGACGTGGGTTCGAATCTCAAAAGGAGAGACATGGGTTCTTTCAAGACGGTCGCAGATGCACCTTTCTGACTGACTGGTGAGTGCGAACTAACAGGAAACCTAGGAACATTAAATACTCGTATATATTCAAGTATTGATTAGCAGGGATTTGATTGATTAATTACAGGATTTCATCATGAGCTGACATCGCGGTTAGAGAACCACTGGAAGACCTGGGCCATTGTAGTATCGGGTCCCAGGCTTGTAACCAGAAGGTACTGAGTTCGAACCCCTTCCGGTGGGTGCGTACTGATGAAGAGTCCCGAGCACTAGGCTGACGAAACAGCTGGCTGTCCAGTACTCCCTGAAGGTTTTCCGATAGTCCCCCTAATTGTGTTATCTGTTGGAGTGGGGGTGTGGGGGTGTATTCTTGCTTATAAATTGTACAGAACACTGATTTTTTGGTAGACCGTATTCAATGAACCATGAGTAAACTCTTCGTTCTAATTCTAAGCACCCTATTTCACGCCCACACACCGCCTTATTTTTATATTTTATTTTTTATACCCACAAGTATTCGCTTTTATCTTCCTCTCTAAGGTCGTTCGTTATTTTATTCTGTTGTGATT